CAGGGCTCCTGTCGCGCGGTCGTGGCCCTCGTAGTTTTGCTCCTGGAAACGGCGCACAACTCTGAATCACCTGTGATTGTCATCTGCTGGAACTGATAAGCAGTGGAGGACTCACTGTTACAGATGTCGATACATTGCTGCAGAGATAGGTTGCGCTTTCGTAATAGTCGCTTCGTCAAACCTTCGTCATTGATCCCAAGAACAATGCGGTCCAGTATGAGACTGTCCGCCATGCATTTACAGAAACTGCAGGATCGGGCCAAAATCTTTAGCTCAGTGACGTACGTGTCAACGGATTCACCTGGCCGCCTGTTCCGCGAAAAGAAGAGGTAGCTTTGAAATGTCTCGTTTGTTTGGCCTTCGCAGTATTCACTGAACTTCTCAAGAACTGTCTCCAGATTGTCGGCATCTTCGGTCTTGTCGTAACACAATGTCTCTAGCACGCGGCGCGCATCATCTCCTGCTGCGCGTCGAAACATGGCCAAGCGGTACGCCATCGGTTGTTTGTCCAGACGCGATAAAGTGCAGAAATCCATCCATTTGCTCTTCCACAAACGCCAGTTGCTTGCCAAACTGCGTTCATCCACGTTCAGCGGGGCAGGCATTTGAATAGCCGGTGCAGCTCCAATCATCGTCTGGGTGGTACTAATGTTCTTCTCCTTCACTGACACCATGTAAAAAGTCGGTCCTTCAGGGAAAAAAACGTATATTCTGCAAACAAAAGGACCAGGCGAAAACGCAGGCAGAGGGCGAGTGAACCATATCGGTATATACAGCGAGTTGGATCCATAATTAACGACCTTTGTGAATGCACGACATTTTTCCTCTGATTCAGTCAAACAAAACTCACTCCAATGCGTCCAACTGTTGGCCAACCAGCGTGCATGCGAGAAACGTATGAACGTGCAATTAGCTGCCGCCTTTCCTTGCGGCAGCCTAACGGCTTCCTTGCTGGGCTGGATCCGCACGTTCGTTCGAGTGTATAATCCCATCACAACCATACACTCTAGGAGTTTTCCTTCCTAGGTGTCAGTATCCACACAGTGACTGGAGCTCAAATGCATGGGAACACGTTCGTTCTTCTCGTACGACAATGCTTTGCAGTCTTCACTCACCAGGGCTTCACAATCCACGCAGACCTAGTGTCCGGAGAGAGTACCAATCGTATTGGGATTGACCTCGAATAGTCATCAAGCGTCCATGTGAGTGTTGCTCATTTGCAATGTCCGCAACACATAGGCCCTCCTCTATACGCCCAGTTGAAAGGCCACAAACGTGTGTGTGTGCATGTGTGTGTGACGGATTCAAAGGAACACTCATAAATCCCTTAGATTGGTCGCCCATCCTCAAGCATATCCATTTTAAATGCCAGTGGTAATGGTGACGTCGCTAGTGTACATGGGTCGCGTTAACTCCTGGGTACCAAGCGGTTACTGCTTACAATATTCCACACTCGTTCGTTCATTGGATTGAACAATTGGGTGTAGTGATCAACAATTATCCCTGGAGCCCAAGTAGTCTACAACCCTTCCTCGCTTTCGAATGCAGTTTGGAAATTCGGTGTTCAAGACCCAACAAACTTGGTTGCAAATGTCCTAACGTCGGCTCGTCCGTGTGTAAACTGAATAATCCCGGCAAGTCACTGACTAGCGATTAACATGCTGATATTGATGCTACATGTTCTGTTTCCTATATTAGTCACAAGAATGAGTGTAGCTCTATTTCCCGCTGTATATCGTTCATACTGAAGTTAGAATAAGTCAGCTATTATCGAGATAAGGTGCGGAAGAGCAAACGTTCATTCTGCAATTTAAATTAGAAATGACCAATCATCTAGACTGACTGAAAAGTAGATTAGTAAAGCTATGGTGTTACGGCAGTGTTTAAATAAATATTTAATTGGAAAATAAGTCCAGCAGAGCAACAATTGATTTGTTACGAAGAATAGCTGCAACCGAGATGTATGATGACAGATTGTGAGTAAATTGTAAGCGGTAAAATTACGATGAGAAATCCAGATCGCATGGGAATATAATACGTTCAGTTAACCACCTTATTGGCGTCATCTGCCCAGGCACTTGGTACACATTGTTTGACAACCCTCATATGATTAACTTTGCGACACTCACTGTTTTCATTGCAAATCACACCATGTGTATGGAGAGTTAATCGTTCATTGTTTTCTCAAGCCATGTCTAAGTGGTTCCATTCCCAACACCGCTGTGAAGATACCATGGTGCCCAGGCGTCTCACGACATACTCATTTGAGATATTAGATAATTAAATGTTGTGCGAGGTACTTCTTGTCAATTTGCTAAAACAGTTTGCACATTCTTTCGAAAGTCGATGATAGAACAGGGAGCAGCGGAATTTACTACATGTGTTGGTGATGTGATAGCGTCAAGGAGGCCATCAGGAAATGTATGATATTATCGTCTACTAACGCTTATAGCAAGACAGCATGTACAATACACAGGAACCATAAGTCATCTGTGTTTTACGGTACATTTAGTTGTGCATCTTGCTACCTGGTAGCCATACTCACGGCATTTGTTTCCGTATTTCCATATCTGTCTCAATCTATCGTTGATACCCACAATTCTGAATAAACTTAAGGCTGTCGTTTCGGTTCTCATCCAAACGCTAACTAACCACTGACAGTCGTGTTGCTTACTACGTGCGATTTTCTAAAACTAGAGAAATATGGTTGTTTTTCTTTCATTCAATCCAAACTCATGCACGTACGCAGTGTCATGGTTCATGAGGGTTACTATTTCTTCAACCAGTTTGTGGTAGTCCATACACAAGTGTGAACAAATGCCCGTTCGCAACACTGCAGTATTATAACTCGAACCAAGGACCTTTGGTATGTCAACTGATATCTCACGTTGAATGACTAAGTGGAAGCCATTTAGAAACACTTATAAGCACCACACTTCAGCCTGACAGACTGATGGCATTTTCACTCGCGTAACACCATTAACTGCTGACTCGATGTCTAAATGGGACTCGCCTAAAGTACAAATCCCGCTAACATCTGTTCGTGTCTCGATACATTCCCACTTGACAGACGGATCTTATTACATTTCTTCTCGTGTGAAACCGTCAATTATTAGGGGCTGCAATATGAGGTCAATGTATCCCATCTCAAGTGTCTCTATACTGCTGCCGCGTTCAGGTAAACGCACTGAGATTCAGACAAGTCATCAAGGTTGATTCCCGGAGCAGCGGCAATACGTTGTGACACCCGAATCGAAATGCTTGCGCATAGATAGTGATCTAGACACTGATGAATTGATCAACATATGCTAGCGGTCCGAACGAATGTCCAGGGGAAATAAATCGTAACACATGACGGACTACCTAGTGGTTCTATCTCCCTGTTGATTCCCGCTCACCTCGGACAACAGACGATTATAAATAGGCTCTGGTTTTACCTTACGACACGGATAGCCTGCAGTGGACATAATCGCACCATTTCCCTGCTGCACCACCCACACAACCCCATATCCAGTGTAAACCCGAAGGAATAAGACCGAGATGCATGTGGATGGGAGCCACGTTTCATCAGCGGAGCTGGCCCACACTCCTTTACAGGCAAACACAAGCACGCAGTATGTGGGAATCAAGCGCACCTAAGGCGGTGGCTGGACTTTAGTCCGCTCCACACTGAGTGAATGGAACCACTCTTCTAGCCAAGCACGACCACAAGGACCGTGCACCCCGTCCCCTCCAGCAACGACCAACTGTCTCCTGGAGCCAGATGGACGAGGTAGTGGGTAGTAGACAGGTAGGCACCTTGTCAACATGCAAATCAAGCGCAGCCACACCTGGGATGTCAAACAACAGCCAATCACTCGAAATGCCGATATCGAATAAACTAAACGCATATGTCGACATACTCGCTAAATGAGCAGATGGAAGAAGGTGGTTAAATGTGAATACGCGATAAGTACAAAATGTTCGAAAGTTATTTAATACATTCCAAGCGCGATAAAACTACCCAAGGCTACCACCATTTGCATGAGCGACGTGTGTAAGTTGGGAGAAGATTATCAAGTACGCAGAATAAACCAAATAAAATGTAAGGAATTTTATCCACATTAAAAAGACCTAGTTTATGTGTAAGTTGGTTTAGCCCAACTGCGGTGAAGAAGCATCATGAATGCGACATCAGCCTCAGCATGGGGCACTGAGATTTTATATATATATATATATATATATATATATATATATATATATATATATATATATATATAAAGACATGAAACGTAGCGCCGTATACGTGGTTCACGCTCCACCCGACCTAGCTAGGCGCAAGGAGTGGTTCTATGCACCCAAGATGGAGCAGACTACGTTCAAGCTACCGCCTTGTGTACATCTAGTCTGCATGAGTTCCACTTAGACGGTCTGGAATGTTGTTGCTGTGCATGTTGAAAGAGTGTAGGCCGAGTGCGTTAAGGAATCGTGGTTTCCATACACAATTGCCAGTCTTTCCCATTCGGGCTTACACTGCATATGGGATGGGTGGATGGGGTGTCGATGGTGAAGCGAAAGCCATCCTAGGTACGCGTCTTGTGACTGTCCTGTGAGCGGTCTAACTTGTTATCAACGATTTTTTTAACGAAGCTGCATGCCTCAACGTGACCATTTTACGAAAATACTCAAGCGTTAGCCTTTCAGCTATATCACATCGGTAGAGACAACTCAAACGGGTTTATTTAAACACAAAATATAGAAGTAGATACAAATGTACACATGTTTTGAAAGTACTAACAAAAATTGCAGTGCAAGTCAAACACAAACAGAAGGTGGTATCCACAGCGATATGCAAGCATACTCAAGGGGTCAATTATTCCCCGTTTGCCTGTAAAGAACCAAATGAACGCAAAAATCATCCCACCGCCACTGTCCATTCGGATTGGGAGATCGAAGTACAGGGGAACAGCGTTCAAAGAACGCATCATGTATTGAAGTCCATCGCAATATTATGAGGAGGCTTATACCTGCCTCTTCTGCCTCAATTTCATTTGTGCAACTGTGCTGTCATTCGAAGCTGAGTGTCTAACATCTACAAAAGGGGAGCAAGCAAACAAAAATGAGGGAAAAGTTTGTCCCGAAGTTATTATTATTATTATTATTATAACAATAATAATAGTGTGCGCTCGATTGCGAGATGCGTTTGGGCCATGCACCTGAAGACTATACAGTGGCATACTTGAAAAAGTGAACAGGCCAAAGAATTCCATGATCATGGACCGTGAGAAGAATAAATGAAGATCAAACGTAAGCCAAGTAATACCATTTACGATGATACAAGACAAGTTAACTGGAACCATCAAGTACACACTCACTTGAATGAATAGAGATGAGATGTTTTCGCATATTATAGTTCTGTGAAAACGATTTACCACATAGTTCACATGTATAGGGGCGCTGTGCTGAATTAGGGAACAGGAAGTGAATAGTCACAGATGAACCTCAAGGTGGACACAGATAAGAAACGGACATGGGTTAAAATATGAACACACTCAAGGTTGCTGGTGTACGGCCAACTTGGAATTGGAAATGTTTCAAACCATATATCAATACACCTCAGGTCTTGTGCCGTAATACAACATTGAAGACGGATGGCTAACAGACAGAGTGCGTGTCGCCTACCCACAATAACTGTTTTATTCCAATAGTATATATCGACCAACGTGCATTATATTTTACTACTGTTATAAGAGCATAAGGATGAAAGATACCTCAGTGTGACACACTGCTAGTCAGCGGAAAATACAACTGTGGCAGACGGACGACTGGGTCCGATGAGATAAATTGCTAAATTTGATAAACTCGCATCTGATCGGTCACACTGTACATCTGTCCACCGATTGACCACGCCAGGTACACCCTTCCGTGATGAACTAATACTTTATCCTCCGACTGAGTACATACACCGTGCTGGCCGATTTGTCATCACCGCCAGACTTAATGTGCTTTGAAAGCCAAAGAACGAATCGGAACGACTACATTCACATGAACCATGTGCTTCGTGTAAATTAAAATTACGACGCCATTCTCTGTGAGTCTTTCTACTCAACTCTGTATGTCCAAGATCTCAACTATTATTCTATACCCCTCAACTGTCAATCTCGTCCTATGACCACGGTGACCAATCCGCAGGCAAGCAAAGAAATAGAAACACTATCGTAATTGTATCAACCATTATCTATTAACACTGATCACATCTGGCTCCGCTAGTCGTATCTATCATTTTGAGTCGTTTAGACACTGATGTGAGCACTGGTCAGATTCCTAACACTGCAGGTCGCTGAAAGTACACAGTGTGAACACCAGTGTGAGTGTGACTCACGGCTGTCATATCAGACATCGTAAGCCATCGTAGCCTTGGTGACCCACACTGTTGGAAGATTAAATGAGTGGAGATCGTGCGTGCAGCCTACTCCTCCGCCCCCGGCGGACTTGTTTCCGTTTGCTTATTTTGTCGCAAGAAAAGGCAGCGTACTATAGCGGCGTTACACCGTATATGTGTCATTAGAAGCAACATTAGTTGGTTTTTTGAACGAACGGCGAGCAGCTGCTACGGAATTGCGCTGGAAGCATATATTGTTAAGGTTCGCAGGAAAGTAGTGCCTGTGCTAAAACGGTGTTGGTGTACGAGAGACAGACGTTGCTCAGGGCCTTCCAATTAATTCTGGTGCTTAGCCTTCGTAGAATCGTATCAGGCACACAACCATAATGTGCTGACATTGCGACCTAAACTTACGTCAGATGAATATTCCCCGATCCTAACAATCGCACCCTCGCAGGTCAAACTGTTGTGTGTGTGGGTGCAGAGAGAGGATAGCTTCCTTGGAATGGGCATCTGGGGTGCATCATCTGCGCTCAGTAATAAATGCTCGTTCATGTTGTCTGCTTTTGCCGTTGCAAGATACGTCATCTCCGACCATAGAGTAATAGTTTGCTGTTGACTTCACAACTAAAGCTGTCGATGCACGTTACTAGTTCTTCAAACCAAATGTCTTGTCTCGTTCGCATTTTGCATCAAATCGGTCAAAATGCAGTGCTCATTTTCTTTCCCTAAGAATTGATTTGTGTTACAGATTCGAAACAAGTTTACAAGATGGCGGTATCGTAACAAATCTATCACCCATTAATTCTGAAACTATCGGCAACGACTGCGCGCAATGCATCTCTAACGACAGTGCCTTAGCAGCTCAAGATACTTATGGTGGCGGTATCGCTGTCAACAAGCAAAATGGAAAGTAACTGGACGGGAATCTAACAAAAGACCGAAAAAGCACCTCACTGAACACCATCAAGACCGTTTGTCAAAAATAGAATGTTGACAAATGAAAAGAGCATGGTGACCCACTAAATGTTAGGGTCTTGAGGGCACAACTTATTCCAATCGTTAAGGAGGCTACAAATGATGTTAGCACGATAGCGTAGCCGAAGAACTATGTTCCCTTTCAACTGCAATAGTAGGATCACATCAGACGTATACGTGACAGTTGCCAATCCATCCAATCGCTCTCACCCAACTGCGTGCGTTTGCACTAGATCCCTGACACCGTGTGCGCTTCTATGTACGCCATGACCTTCAGAGTTTAATCACCCTTCGCTGGCGGCATCCAGTTCCGGATTTGCCTGTCACTGCAGCCTCCATAGCACAGCTGCAGGACGCCTGGGCTAACAGAGGGACCATGAGTGGGCTAGCGCTACACAACCCATATCTTCATCCGCACACCCTATATCCAGTGTAAACCTGAAGGAATAAGACCGGGAGGCATGTGGATGAGAGCCAGGCTTCATCCACGGAGTCGGCCTACACCCCAACAAAGCAACGAGACTTGGCCTTAACGTGGTGCAATGGTTTGCGTACCCCCTTGTCCCATTGGGCCACCTTGGGTGACACTTTCCAAATGCCTTCAGAGCCACTTACATCAGAAAGAGCAATGATCAGGGGTCAGACCGACTCAGCCTCACAATCCACTCCACTTCGGAGGTTAAGGAGAGGCCGACGGTTCTCGTCATTTAAAACCTAGCCTTGGGAGAAAACAGCTCTACGGCTGACGTAAAGCACGAGCGTCACACAGTCTCTGACGGTGAGAATGATTTGCTACCTCCCGCCCCAAGCCAGGTAGCTCCTGGTTACATTGGTACAAACCCGCCCACTCCCACCTGCAGCTGGCCGTGGTCGCAAGTGCGTAACCTAATAAGATCGTAAAACACATGTGAATTGTTCCCAAAATCTTCAAATACTGTCTGACAGGACTCAAACAGATCCCAAAGGGTCTTTGCAGTCACACACAAGAGCTAAACTTGTTCCCCACTGCTTTGTGGATCAGGATATTGAGTCAAAAGCTAGAAGCAGCACACCTCGAACGAAATCGCTCAGAATGGACACCCGGAGAGTATTATCCGCACACTTGACACGACGACAGTACTCCCAATTCTACTTTTGCTGTCTTCTCTCAACTCTCTTCTTCCAAGTCTAGTACGGAAAAATCCGCTGCTAACCTCGCTGCTTCTACCATCGATACTCGTAACTCGTTCATTAAACCACGAGTCTCATTTCACATTGGTTCTTTTAACGTCCGCTTTCTGGGTCAGATCGGCCAACAAGCAGCACTGACCCTCACTCTTAGCCTTTCTTGCCATTGATGTGTGCTGTGTCGCCGAAACATACATACAAGATAACAGCATTATGAGAAATCTTCGAATCCCAGTTTTTGAATCTGACGACGATGAGGTGACTCGGGAGATACCCAGTCAGTGGCTCAAGGTATTTAAGGCATTGGTAACGCCTTCAGCAGATATGCTGAAAATAATCTACTAGACTGGATAAAAGCGCATGTGTGGGGTTCGACTTCGAACCTCTAATGGGCTTAATAAACTGGGCATGATGTTGCATTCATGATGCTTCCTCACCGCAGTTGAGCCAAACCAATTTACACTTACACTTGGACTTTTTAAGCTGGATAAATTTCATCCCACTTTATTTGGTTTGTTCTGTCTACCTAAACGATCTTCTATTAATTTGCACTCGTTGATTACGCTTATTGTGGTTATGTTCGTTAACTCTGTTACGTTTGTGGTACTTTTTGAGTATACTGTGGACCTTCTGTACTTATCACGGATTCGTTGCCAACCAACTTATATTATAGGTTGGTTTAGCGAAGAGTTATGTCGGCATATCCATACGCTTTAACAGATATTTAAGGTAGAAATTCGTCACATACAGACTCATTTAGACAGCCATCACACGTCCGAAAATGCACTGTATGCTCGCTTCATCCTTTCGGGAATCATCAGCAGTGCGCATTTCATCGGACTGGTAGGGCTCGAACCCGCAACTCGACTGTTGCCAGTCCGTGGTGGAGACCGCTGAGCTATAGGGGACGGCAACGACCATCGTGAATAAGTTACTAGATGTGATATGGTGCCCCTCAATATCCACTGACATGCACGCTACCACCGTGCATATACATTTTATTTGATAATGGCATTTCAAGTGAATGGCTGTTGCTTGATATCCCCAGTGCGTCAGCCCCTGATGTGCATGCTGACAAGGTGCTTACCTGTCTAGTACCCACTATCTCGTCCATACTAGCTCTAGGAGACAGTTGGTCGTTGCTGGAGGGGACGGGGTGCGCCGTCCTTGTGGCCGTGTTAGGCTCGAAGAGTGGTTCCATGCACTCAGTGTGGAACGGATCATGGTCTAATCACCGCCTTGTGTGTGATTGATTCCTAAATACAGCGTGCTTGTGCTTGCCTGTGAAGAAGTGTGGGCCAGGTCCGTTGATGAAACCTGGCTCCCATCCACATGCCTCCCGCTCTTATTCCTTCGGGTTTACACTGGATATGGGGTGTGTGGAAAGAGCTCTGGGTGGTGCAGCGCAAACCATTCATGGTCCCTCTGTAGACGCAGGCGTTTTGTGACTGGCCATAGTGACAGGTAAATCTGAAACCGGATGCCGCCACTCATGAAGACAAGGTGACCTATCATCGCCTCAGTTTACGCTCCCACTGACTGCAGTTCGGAAGGTACCAAATATGCCGTTCATTACCATTTCTCATCACGTCTTCACAGGGCGAAGAATACTGACACCGTGGTTATTGCTGGTGACTTGACTGCCCAAGTAGATTGTTTTCAGTTTCTGAACTCCTGGGAGGCTACTTCGGAGTCCATGCACGCCGAAAAGACAATGGTGATCGATTCCTGCAAATGTACACCGACCACAATATTTGTATTAGCAGCACTACATTCCATCAGAAACGTTCACACCACGTCACTTGGCGCCCTCTGAATTCCTCAATGACCTGAACCCCAATTAGCTATATTGCCATAAGCTACAGATGGCGCATGTCAGTAAAGACGGCCGGTACGTGCCTGGATTTCAAACAGGATCTAGTGCGCGCACGCTTG